AGACTGTGCGATGAATCCGATCTGGACTGTGGAGCTGACACGGTGTCACGATACACCATCTTGACTCGTACGGCTTCTTGGTCATCAGCCCATTTATGGCGTGAGCTGTTTCGAGTTTTGCTATTCTATATGTTTTTTTCCCTCCTCCTCCTCCTCCTCCTCCTCCTTCTTCTTCCCCCTCTCTTCCGTCCATATACGTCCATTCGCCTCCCTGGTTGGAATTGGAGATGCGATTCCGGCAACAACAAGACTTCCAATCTAGTCGTTTCCTCGACAGAGACCCACATAGGAGCTTATGAGTATCATCTTTACAGTACCCGTAGACGTGAAAGAGACGAGAAGAAAAAAGAGAGAGGGAGGAGGAGAGAGGGAGAGAAGGAGAGGAGGAAATGATGATGATGATATCAAGTCACATAACCTGAGCTACACCCCGCATCCCCTCTCCCCTCTTCCCTTCCCTTCCCTCCCCCCACAGAAGCCAGAAGCGAGCGGCTGTACTCGTTATGTGGATCCTCTTGGTCCGTAGACTTCTCAAAACGAGTAGACGGTCTGGGGTACAGATGATGTCGTATCATGAGCAGTCGTATGTCGAACATGGGTTGACCTGGGCTGTAGACCCACTACAGGAGCGTGCAGCTCTTACTCTGCTCCCATTGTTATTCCGTCTGACTGTCCTCCCTGTCCTTGCCCCCCATCCAGACCAGGCATCTAGACTGGGCATCTAGGCTAGACATCCAGGCTGGACATCTAGGCTTGACTGCCATGACATTTGGATCATAAACGTACGCATCACCTCGTCTGCTCACTTCACAGACACCGTAGACGACCGTCGAAGAGGTTCCGGGAACGACGTACCAGTACATGCCGTAGATCGGACTCCTCATCATCTCAAAACCCCATCATCTACCTGCCCCCCCCCCTCCGCCCGTGAATTAGCGGCAAAGCTTCCGATTCCCATCTTACTCTGCTGCCGCCGTCCTCCTCCTCCCAAGCTCCCAGGCTTCCCCGCGCCCTTTTCCGGTTGTGTCGACGTTGTGTCGACGGAGAGCCGGTTACGTCGTCTTCCTCTACCCCTCCCCCTCCTCCCACGTCACCGTCACTCACTTCGATCGTCCCGGGACCCGATTGGGAATTGGGARCTGGGYGGMTGAGGTCACCGTCGTAAGTTCACGTCGTGCCGTCTCGCATAGGGTGATCGTCTCTGTCAACGTCGTCGCGTGATGTACATGGAGAGGTCGAACCCTCTTCTCTCCCTCTCTCTCTCTCTCCGTCTCTCTCTCCGTCTCTCTCTCCGTCTCTCTCTCCGTCTCTCTCTCTCTCCTAGGGTTTCTCTCTCTCCTAGGGTTTCTATCCTTTTCCTCTCTTGGCAGTACCTGATAATAATTGCCTCCTCTCTTGTGTGTGTGTGTGTGTTCCTCCTCTTTATATATTTCCATTCAATTCCCCTCCCCCCTCTCCCCTCCCCTTCTCTCACACACACACTCTCTCTATATCTCCCCACCACCCCCCGCTTTCCCTCCCGCCCCTCTTCATCTCTCCCTCTCTTCTCATCCAATCCTGCTTCTACTTCCCTCGAGCAATTACTTCCCTCCAGCAATTTATTACTTCTTTTCTTTTTATTTTATTTTATAAAAAGAAGAACCATATGCATCCATCTACCCCATCGAGTCCACATATACCGCTACGTTTTCAAGATGCCTGCAACCAAGACCTCGGCCGTGGCCGACGAGCAGGAGCCCATCAACGTCCTGTTCGCTCTCCACCCAAAGTTTGACTTGCTTGACTTTGCCGGCCCCGTCGAGGTCTTTTCCACAGCTCTTCACGATAGAGATGATCCATGTGCGTATCCTCCCCCCCTCCTCTCCGACCCCAATCCCGTCAATAGCCGCAACAGCCGTGAGGCTGACAGCGCCCAGCCTCCAGAGCCTTCGAGATCACCCTCGCGAGCAGCGAGCCCCAGGTCCTGAGCGAGCAGGGCATCATCGTAAACTCCCACATCACCTTCAAGGAAGCCCACGACAACCTGGAGGACTACGACGTCCTGGTCGTCCTGGGCGGCAACATGCTCTCCCTCGTCAAGACCGAGGACCAGCCCGCCGGCCTGATCGTCGACTTCTCCGAGCTCCAGAAGAAGGAGCCGGCCCGCGAGCGCACCCTCCTCTCCGTCTGCACCGGTTCCCTCCTCCTGGCCAAGGAGGGCATCCTCTCGGGCCTCTCGGCCACCACCCACCCCGACTTCCTCACCACCTTTGAGAATCTGTGCAGCGACGCCGCCACCCGCAACCTCCAAGAGCGCACGGACATCGTCGAGGATGCCCGCTACGTCGTCAACAACCTCCGCTTCGACCTCGACGGGGAGGACTCTAGCCCTTATATCCGTCGCAAGTCAGACTCGGGAAGGCGCCCTTCCAATGCTAGGTACGATGATCTATCCTCTCCCCCTCCTCTTCTCCATCCTTGATCCCCATCCTTTCCTTCCTCAGCAGCACAGAGAGAGAGAGAGAGAGAGAAGAAGAAGCGTTGCTGACCCCGTCCCCGAAGAAAGGGAAGCATGTCCTGGAAGGACTCCAACAGCCGTCGCGAGTCCATCGTCCGTCGCGCAGCCATGCGTCTCGGCGGTCTCCGCGTCATCACGTCCGGAGGCAACAGCGCCGGCATAGACGCGGCCCTCTACCTCGTCAGCGCCATGGTCGACGAGGAGTGCGCCTTCGCCGTCTCCAGGATGATGCAGTGGAACTGGACCAAGGGAGTCGTCGTTGACGGACTGGATGTTTAGAGTGTCCGAGGTATTCTGTCCTGTCCGTGCTCGTGCCGTGTGTGTATATCTAGTGACTCACCTGTCCCTCGTATGTCCGGGATGAGTACGGATAGAGAGCTTGTAAAGTATCATTACCGAATTTCAGAGTATCATGTGTCATCTATCCTTTTGTTTCTTATTCTTATCTTATTTTCTGCAAGTCTCAGTGAATTAATGAGAACGATGGGAGAACCCCCCCCCCCAGAAAAAAAAAGGGGAGGGGGGGATGCTATTTGATGCGATGATCCAACAAAATCTATCATCGCTATCGCAAGAGGGCTTGACGATACCAATGCTTAGGCGGGGGATATTCGCTCTCATGATAGGATGACGGACGTGTACATGTAGAGAAGTTTTTTTCCCTTTATTCTTCTACTTCTTTTTCTTTTTTTCTGTCCATGACCTCTCTCAGCCTCAGGCCAGACCAAAAAAAACAATCATACCAACAACACCTTCCATTCTACGGAGTACAGATTACATGGTGCCAAAGAGTTCAAAAAAAGGCCCCCCCACCCCCACTTTATGTTTCTTCTGTCCACCAGCGTCACTGATTCAATGGTAAAATAAAATAAAATAAAATAAAATAATAAAATAAAATAATAAAATCCATTTTACCTCTATTATTTCATTGTAATTAAAATCTTTAATTTTTTTTTAAACCAGCCCAAGCAACAGTAATAACAACAACAACAACAGCAGCAGCAGCAGCAGCAGCAGCAACAAGTTGAACGATTTCGTTCTCCTCACACTTCTTTTCTTTCCTTCCCTCCGACTCCTTCATCACATCAATGCAACAACACCAATTCATACTCGAATCATCACGGAGCGACGCGGACGCGAACGCGTAAGATAACCGATAAAACCAAGCTTCCAAAGAGAGAAACTCGGGTCAAACTTCCACCCTTCCAACCCCAACAAAAAAAAAAAAAAAGAAGCCCCCTTCCTTGTTTCAATTCCCTAATAATACGCAACACGCACGCACGCAACGCACGCACGCAACGCACGCACGCAACGCACGCACGCAACGCACGCGCGCTACCGCAACGCGCCTCCCATCTGCAAACGCCGCAATGACCGACTGGTCCAAACTCAAGGTCGCAGACCTGAAGACCGAGCTCAAGAATCGTGGCCTCGCCCAAGCCGGGCTCAAGGCCGAACTCGTCGCGCGTCTGGAAGAGGCCGATCAGGCTGACCAGCAGGCGCCCAACGGAGAGGAGGGTCAGAATGGCGACGACGACGACGACGACGACGACGGCCACCACCACCACCACGACGGAGATGTCGAGATGGATGACACCGCTGGCGCGGAAGAGACACAAGCCGATGCCGAAGCCGATGCCGAGGTAGAAGTCGAAGCCGAAGCTGAAGCTGAGCCTCAAGCAGAGACACCTCCCCCCCCTCCTCCCCCTGCCGCCACCACCGACGACGACCGGCCCGGAGAGTCCGACGCTGCTGCTCCGACAGACGCACCCATGGCAGACGTACAGATGGACCAAGATGACAAGTCGGAGCCGACAGCCGATGACGCGCAGCAACGACCCCGACGCGACGCCAGCCCCGCCCCGACCCCGGCCCCGGCCCCGGCCCCAGCTCCCGATGCAGACGCGGACGTAGACGCGGACGTAGACGCGGACGCAGACGCGGACGCACCTCCGTCCCTCCACGTACCCACATCAGCCCTCTACATCTCCAACCTGATGCGGCCCTTGCGACCGGCAGACGTGCAGACGCACATAGCCAGCCTCTCCTCGTCCGCCGCCGCCGCCGCCGCCGACGAGTCCGCCGACGTCATCACGGCCTTCCACCTGGACCAGATCCGCACCCACGCCCTCGTCTCGCTGACGAGCACCGCCGCTGCCCGTCGCGTGCGCTCCCGCCTCCACGGGACGGTGTGGCCCAACGAGAGCAACCGCAAGGCCCTGTTCGTCGACTACGTGCCCCCGGAGAAGGTGGCCGACTGGATCGAGGCCGAGACGCGGGACGTCGGCGGTAGCGGCAGCGGCAACGGGCACCCTCGATCGTCGAAACGCTGGGAGGTCGTCTACTCACCCGACGGGACGGCCCAGCACACCACCGCTTCCGGCAACGTACCCGGCAGCGCACCCGGTCCTGGTCCCGGCCTTCCCACCTCCGGCGGTGGCGGCGGTGCCCCCCCGTCCGCCCCCACGGGTCCGAGAAGTCTGCTCGAACCCCCGACGGGTCCGAGAGCCAAGCGTTCCGGTCCCGGTCCGTTCCCACCTCCCGCCTCCTCGGGCGGCCGTACCACCCGGTCCTATCCGCCTGTCCAGTTCGCCCCCGTGTCGGACGACCTGGCCCGCCGTCGTCTGTCGAGCATGCACTCCTTCTACACCGACAGGAGGGGCCCTTACGGCCGGGACATAAACCGGTACTCGTTCGAGGATGCCGATAGCTTCGTCGATAGGGGCAAGGAGGTCTTTGAGGGCATCAGGCCGCCGCATAGGCAGCGGGGTGGCGGTAGGGGGCCAGGTCGTCTCCTTCCTCCCCCTGGCCCTGGCGGCGGCGGCGGCGGCGGCGGCCGGAGGAGGAGGAGGAGGAATGGAGGTGGGAGGCCTAGGAGTGATAGGTACCTGCCTGGTTTGGATCGGTGATGGGGTTATCGAGCGGTTATTGTCATAACCTCATACTGCTAGTACTTGGCAACATGGCTGATCTGAGGTGAACTTTTTTTTTCCCCTCTTTTTTTCTCTTTTTTTTTGTTCTCAAAGAAAAGAAAAAAAGGTCATGGTAACTGGGCGTTGGGACAGGTCAAAAAATATAACAAGGTCAGTGTATAGGCTCTCGAGATTGCTATCAATTCATTGTAATTTCAAAGATGAGAGGAACATAAAAAGTAAAAAACCAAAAACACCCATCCGCCATTTTCTTCTTCAAGAAAAATTTCCCGCCCAAGTCCTTCGTCCAGGGATACTCTACTCCGGTGGACCTCGGATGCAGCCACCTAGCACCTCCACCTCCGACGGGGTCTCTACCGGTGACCTTCCCGCTCCGCTCGCTCAGCACTGTCGTTCCTCAACCGCTTCCAGCCAGAGGCGTGGGGTCGACACCGACTCGCTCCCTGCTGAGGATGTCGAGGAGGAACTGGGTAGGCCTGTTGTCCTTGTAGACGGCCTGGCTATCCTTGGCAAGCTTGACGTTCTGGAGGTACTTCTCAAAGAGGTAGGAGGAGTCCATGGGACCGCCCTTGGCCTCGGGGTGGAACTGGGTGGAGAAGATGGGGCGGGTCTTGTGCATCATGCCCTCGTTGCTGCCGTCGTTGAGGTTGACAAAGTACTCCTTGAAGTCGTCGGGCAGGGTGCTGGAGTCGATGGCGTAGCCGTGGTTCTGGCTGGTGATGTGGCACTGGCCGGTGGTGAGGTCCAGGGCCGGGATGTTGTGGGCGCGGTTGCCATACTTGAGCTTGATGGTGCGGGCACCCACGGCCAGGGCGAGGAGCTGGTGGCCCAGGCAGATGCCCATGATGGGGATGGACGACGTCTCCATCAGGCGGGCCAGGTTGTACACCGTCTCCTGGCAGTGGGTGGGGTCGCCGGGTCCGTTGGAGATGAAGACCCCGTCGTAGTGCTGGGCGACCTTGTGGATCGGGTAGTTGTGAGGGAAGACGGTGACCGAGGCGCCGCGGCTGACCAGGCTGCGCAGGATGTTCTCCTTGACACCGCAGTCTAGAAGGGCGACGTGGTAGGCCGCGCCGGGGGACTCGATGACGAAGGGTGCCTTGGTGCTGACGCGCTTCACCAGGTTGATCTGGCCGGGGTCGACGAAACCCTCGTCCTCGTCGGCGTCGTACTCCTCGCCCACCGAGATGCGGGCCAGCGAGGAGCCGCGCTCGCGGAGGTATGTGACGATCTCGCGGGTGTCGACGCCCGAGATGGCGGGGATGCCCTCTCGGGCGCACCACTGGCCGAGGCTCTCGACGGCCGTCCAGTGGCTGTAGTTGAGGGCGACGTCGGACACGACGATGCCGGCGCACTGCACGTGGGGGGACTCAAAGTACTTGAGCAGGTTCCACTGGTCGCGCTCCATGGACGGCACGCCGTAGTTGCCAATCAGCGGCTGGGTGAAGACGAGGATCTGGCCTCGGTACGACGGGTCCGTCATGGACTCGGGGTAGCCGACGAGGGACGTGGTGAAGACGGCCTCGCCGGTGATGTTGGTGTTGGCACCGAACGATTTGCCCTGGAAGATGGGACCGTCCTGTTGGGAGAGGTTAGCGTACGGGCCAGAGGGAAGGGGACGACGGCCGGGAGTGATCGATACGTGACGTACGCGGATGGTGAAGGTAGCGGGGACGGAGCTGGCGGGGGCAGCGGCCTTCTGGGTAGCCGGCACGTTCTTCCCCTTGCTGCCGGCCGTGGCAGGACCGGAAGCCCAGCGTCTCTGGACGCCGGTCGTATTCTTGGGAGCGGCAACCCGTCCGTCAGTCTTGGACGGCGCCCCGGTGATGCTGCTGAGGGCAGCAGCAGCAACCCCGACGGCAGACTTGGGCGGGAGAGAGGCGATAGGCGCCCGGGCCGCACGAGGGATGGCTCGAGCGAACATTCTGATTGCTCTTGTCTCGGCTTGCTTGCTGATTGCTCAATTGAGAAAGTGGCGGTGAGGGTAGTCGGGATGGTCAAGGTGAAATCTGGTTTCTGGACCGGGCTTCTATAGAGAAAGAGACCTCCAGAGGTGGTCTAAAGGTATCGAAAGAAGAAAAAAAGGTCAGCAAATTTGGTTCTGTGTGGGAGAGGGGCCCACGCATCCGAGCGGTGAGTCAAGAGAGAGAGAGAGAGAGAGAGAGAGAGAGGTAGATGTCTGACCCGAGAGATAATCCTATCAGATCGAACCAAGTCAGCAAGAATGTCCTGATAAGAAAAAAAGAAAAAGAAAAACTCGTGATGGAATGCGGAAACGAGCAATGAGGAGAGCCCCCTATCCACCGGAGAGAGCAGTTTTCCCTTTGCGAGGTAGTGACGGGTATCGACAATGTGGTCAAGGTTGGTGCTGGTGGTGGGGTGGTGCCGGTCCGGGGTCTGGGAACCCCTCGGAGGGATGAAGAGGAAAGAAGGAGAAGGGAAAGGGGAAGCTGATGACATACCTGAGAGGTGAAGACTGACGAGCGCCCGTTCATAAGGGCGGATTGAAGGGGTGAAAGGCTTTACAAGATAAGGAGGCTCCAAGGCCAGGTGAGGTGGAGAGAGGGTGTGTTCCTTCGTGCCTTTGCAGGTCGTCTGCTTTTTTCTCGGTTGTGGTGTGGTAGGACT